AAACAATTATATACATATTCTCTCAAAGATAACTACAAATTAACTATCTTACAATATACGTAACATCTTTACATCTTCTTACTTTTTTCCTTAACTCAGATAAACAAAAAAAAAGGAATAAGTAAACATAAAAAACAGACACCGTCTTCTATAACAAAAACTTAACGACCCTTAGCGATCAAAACCAGACACCTTCTTCCAGATCAAAAAGGTAACGACCCTTAACGATCAAAAACCAGATCAGTAGCATCCCCAAAATCTCTCTCTCCACTTTTTGTCTCCAACCGAAAAACTTAATGACCCTGTATTTATCATGAAACAGAGCATAGCAAAACAGAGACGTTAAACTTTCTGTCTTAATCTCTCTCTAAATCCTCGGTTTAACTCTCTTAAGTAACTTGACTCCTTCTATCTCTTTTCTATTATGTTTTCTCTGGCTTTATTAGCTTTGTAGTTTAAATCTTTTAAGGTTTGAGTTTTAAATTATTTGTTTAACCTCTGTTTTTATCCTGCAACAAAACAGATACAATTTGTTCCTGTTTCTTCCTTGATTAAACGGCTCGGAAACACTGACTTACGTCTACTTGTCATAGATTCTTCGCACACTCGGTATGATAAATCTGATATATGTGTATCTTTATTTATGCTATTCAACTAGTGTTTCAGAAGTCTAAATCTAGACAATTTTAAACGGCTCAGATAACTAACCTCTTATCTTGTTGACTATGTGATATAGGTGTTTGGGAGTCTGCTGATACCAAATAAATTATTCAAAAGAAAAACTCAGGTAAGTATTCGTTGAAACGTTCCTGGTATATATGTACTTATGCATTGAGTTAATGATTTATTCAAGTCCTAGATTGGTTGGTTGCAGATTTTTTGAATTCTAAATGTCTTCGAGTAATGCTAATCATGCTATGAGGCAATGGATGTATGCAAGAATTGATACCAATACCAATCAAGTCTCTAACGCATTTACAGAAGGATTGAAATATTTCATGGTTGTTGCTAAAAACCATGTTTTATTTACTCAAAAGCAGAAAATGTTTTGCCCATGTATGAAGTGTGAGAATAGAAAATTTCTTGATGAGCAAAAAGTCATTGGCCATTTATATAACAGAGGATTTATGGCTAATTATATTGTTTGGGTTGCACATGGAGAAGACTATGAGATTGACAATCACCCAGGACATGCTCAAGAAAATACAAACACGCCCATAGATGTTTCCGCGGAAGCTCAAAACTCTTATGTTGAGATGATAAGTGATGCCTTTAAGGACCATACATCCTCTCATGAAAGCATTGAAGAAGATCCTAACGAAGAAGCCAAAAAAAATTTCAGTCTATTAAATGCAAGAAAAAATCCAATATATGAGGGATGTACAGAAGGACACTCACAGCTCTCATTGGCGGCTTGATGTATGACTTTGAAAACAGATTATAACTTGTCTGAGAAGTGCATGGATTATATTGGTCAAATGTTGAAAGACTACATGCCCGCAGATAACAATGCAACTGCTTCATACTATGACACAAAGAAACTGATGAGGTCTTTGGGTATGCCTTACAAAAAGATAGATGTGTGTCAGAATAATTGTATGATCTTCTGGAAAAACGGCGCAGACCTAGAATGCAGTAAATTTTGTGGAGCTGCCAGATTCAAAAATACAAAGAAGCCAGGAAGAAAACAAGTTCCTTTTCGACAAATGTTTTATCTGCCAATAGCTGATAGACTGAAAAGATTATATCAGGCGAATAAGACAGCTTCACATATGAGGTGGCACAAAGAACATTATTCAACTCAGGCTAGCAACGTAATGAGTCATCCATCAGATGGTGAAGCATGGAAACACTTTAACCAGGTATATCCTGATTTTGCCAATGAATCTAGAAATGTCTATCTTGGTTTGTGCACGGATGGATTTAATCCTTTTGGTATGTCTGATCAAAATTATTCGTTGTGGCCAGTCATTCTTACTCCATATAATCTACCACCTGACATGTGTATGAAACGTGAGTTTTTGTTTCTAACAATATTAATTCCCGGTCCAAAGCATCCAAAAAGAAGTTTGGATGTGTTTTTACAGCCTCTCATAGAGGAGCTTAATGGTTTATGGACTGATGGAGTTGAGTCATATGATGTATCGATGAAGCAGAACTTTACATTACGAGCTATGCTTTTATGGACAATCAGTGATTTTCCCGCTTATGCTATGCTATCGGGATGGACAACTCATGGTCGTTTAGCATGTCCTTATTGTATGGACGATACTGAAGCTTTCTGGTTGAAGCATGGAAGGAAAACATGTTGGTTTGATTGTCACCGTCGTTTTCTTCCAAAAGATCATAGTCTACGCCGTAACAAGAAAAACTTCAGGAAAATAAAGTAGTTAATTCTGATCCTCCAAAAATATATTCAGGCAAAGATTTATGGAGTGACCATGTGATGGGTTTACCAAAGACTGCTAGCTGTGGTGGAGAAGGGCATCCAAAAATAGTGGGATACGGGGAAAAACATAATTGGCATAAGCAGAGTATATTTCGGGAGTTACCTTATTGGAAAGATCTTCTTCTTCGTCACAATCTTGATGTGATGCTCATTGAGAAGAATTTTTTTTGATAATATCATCAATACAGTGCTAGATGTGCAAGGGAAAACCAAAGACAATGTTAAATCCCATCTTGATTTGGCTGATATTTGTAATCGGAAAGACCTGCATATTACTGATGAGGGAAAAGCTCCATTTCCATTATTTAGAGTATCTCCAGAATCCAAGACATGTCTATTTAATTGGTTGAAAAAAGAAGTTAAGTTTTCTGATGGTTATTCATCGAATATATCTTCTTCGGTTGATTTCAATGGAGGAAAACTTTCTGGAATGAAGAGTCATGATTGTCATGTTTTTATGCAAAGGTTACTTCCAATAGCTTTTGCAGAATTATTACCTAGCAACGTCCATCAAGCATTATCAGGTATTTATTCTTTGTATATATAATTCTTATTGGCATATATATAAGTGCTGAAATACAAATAATGATTAATATTTAACATAGGTATAAGTTTATTCTTTCGGGATCTATGTGCACGGACCTTGGACAAAGATTCTGTGGAAATATTAAATAATAATATCGCTATTATTATGTGTAACCTGGAGAAAAATTTTCCACAATCTTTTTTTGATGTGATGGAGCATTTGTGTGTTCTTCTCCCTTACGAGGCAACGCTAGGTGGTCCAGTTCAATTTAGATGGATGTATGTGTTTGAACGGCATATGTATCATTTGAAGAAGATGGCGAAAAATAAAGCTAAAATCGAAGGGTCCATCGTAGAACAATGTGTCAATCAGGAGATTTCAGATTTTAGCTCATATTATTTTGAAGATTATATCCAGACTAAAAGTCGTAATGCTTCTCGCAATGATGAGGGAGGTGGCGTTCATAACAATTTATTTCCAGATATTCCTGAAATATTCTTACAAGGTGGAAGAGGTAGTGGAAAGTCTTTGGACGTTTAGTTGGACTCAAGAGATTACCAACATGCACACTCATACGTTCTTTTAAATTGTAGTTATCTACAGCCCTATGAAAAGTAAGTATATTTTAAATTTAATATTGGTCTTAAAATTATTATTTGTTTATAATAAAATGTGAAATTTTTATACAGGTTATTTGAAGAAGACATGAAAAAAACATATCCCACCACAAATGAGGCTCAGATGTTTGATTTAAAAGAACTACGGTTTGCATCATGGTTAAAAAAACATGTAAGTATTAAACTGATATTCAGCTATATTTACAAATATTAAGTACGGTACTTACTATACTTATTATAATTCTCAGATTGGAGCCGACACTAACCGTACTATATATTCATTATGGTTACATGACTTGGTACACGGACCGGCAACTAAAGTAACATCTTGGCCTATATATTTTTGACGAGGATACAACTTCCATACACTAGATCATGGAAAAGATCGTAGTACGTTCAACTATGGTGTTTGTGTGAAAGGATCTTCTGATTCAAGTGAAGGATCTGAATGTTACGGAGTCATAACACAAATATTTGAGTTGTATTATCCAGGAAGAGTTGGTCTTAGAGTTGTACTTTTCAGATGTGATTGGTATGACTCAACAATGGAAAAAGGTGTACGCATAAATAAATTTGGGAACGTTGATATTAATCGATCTAGACGATATGGAAAATATGATCCATTTGTGTTTGCTAGCCAAGCAGATCAGGTATGTTATATACCATATCCTCATCTAAGACAAAAGAATAGTGATTGGTATGCTACAGTGAAGATACAACCGAGGGGAAAATAATATGTAGTGAGGAATTGGATTCGAGTCCTTTACAATATGAGAGTGATAATCCAGTTATTGTGGCTGATCCATTTATCACAGTTGATAGCTTAGCTGACCAACAAGAACCTTTTGTCAACTTGCATGATGTTCTTGATGAGGAGCTAGACTCAAAACATGATGATGTAGTATCTCAGGATTCTGAATCAACAGAAGAAGACAGTTCTGACTGCTGAGACGTCAAGACGTGAAGACGAGACAGTGAAAACTACGACCAAGAGATGACAAATCCTGTTTTTGTTCTTTAGTTTTCTTACCTTGACATCTTGATTATTACCATCTCTGTTTTTTTCGAAACAATTACCATCTCATCTCCATTTTGGTATTTTCAGATTAATTTCTAAATTCATCAATATATCTCTCTTTATTTATGTATCAGAGTGTTGTTTAAGCTGTGTATTTTCAAAACAATTACTCAAAATCACTTTTATAATTATTCCATCTGTTGCTTCTAAGCTTACTGATCTCTTTGATCAGCAAAGTTCAGATGTATCAACTACGCCTACTCCTCTTACATCGCAGAGTTCTACAACACCATCTCCAACATCCCTGGAATCTTACTCGCTCTCATTGGTGTCATCAATGCCTTAAGGCGACGGTGTGAGAAGAGGTTCAGCATTCTCCACATATCAAACATGATTCTCGCTATTGGCAGCATGCTTTACCACGCCACTCTGCAGCATGTGTAAGTATTATTACCCTCTTAAAAGTTTTCCACCTTGTTAGCTTTCTTGATTCAAATTTCGTCTCTTTGATCTACAATCAGGCAACAACAGAGTGATGAGACTCCAATGGTGTGGGAGATACTTCTCTACATGTACATCCTTTACTCACCGGACTGGCATTACAGAAGCACTATGCCTACTTTTCTGTTCCTCTACGGTGCTGCCTTTGCTGTTGTCCACGCTTTCCTCAGGTTTGGGATTGGTTTCAAGGTTCACTACGTGGTTCTTTGCCTTCTGTGTTTCCCTCGGATGTATAAGTACTATATTTACACTGAGGATACTGCGGCTAAAAGGATTGCCAAGTGGTATGTTGCGACGATTCTTGTGGGGAGTGTTTGCTGGTTTTGTGACCGTGTTTTCTGTAAGAGGATATCTCAGTGGCCTGTGAACCCTCAGGGACATGCTCTGTGGCATGTGTTTATGAGTTTTAATTCTTACTGTGCAAACACGTTCTTGATGTTCTGTCGTGCTCAGCAACGTGGATGGAATCCGAAGGTTAAGTACTTTCTGGGAGTTCTTCCTTATGTCAAGATTGAGAAGCCAAAAGCACAATGAGAAGAAGAATTGGGTAAAGAGAGCCCAGAAGAAGAGCCATGAATATAGCTTTTTGTTCATCGTTTTGTCCGAAATTTCGACCTTGGTTTTCATTTTTTTTTTTGGAAGTGAAAGTACTCTCTAGATACAGAGTCTAGATTTCTTTTTGTTCTTGTATTAGCTTTCTTGGTGATGATGATCTTAAGAAGAATTGATTTTTAACTTGCTGAAACGTTTTTTTAATGTTTTGTTTGACTTACTTAGATGCCCCTGCATCGAAATCACTCTCCTGGCATTTAGGCTCTGATACAAAGTCGACTCTGAAAGGATCAGCAACTGTTACACCAAGGTGAGCCCACAAAAAGCAGTCTTAGTACTGTTAAACAGGTTCTTGATAACTAATCAGCTAACTCCTACCTATTGTGCAGCACCAAAGATTCGAAGGCTTTTGCGAAGAAAACTGGGGTGTTCCATCTTTCAGGTATGAGAGACTCTGGAGTTGGAGATGAATTAAAGCCTTTGGTCGGGGGTTCTCAAGTCTCACATGTTCCTGCAACATCCACTATCACCAGGCAGACACAGAAGGTAAAGTCTCAGAGAAATTGGGCTCTGCAAATTTGGTCAACAATTGGGCTTATCACAGTGAGCCCATGACCATATGCTTTTAGTTTTGTGCATTGATTGAATTACCCGTAACTTTATGAATTTTCTTTTGTCTTGTTAAAAAAAAAATACTTTCTTTTGTTTTTCACCTGAAAGAAAAAGAGAGAGAGAAAGAGCGGTGATGGGGCTATCTTCACAGCCACAACAGATGGAGATCAGTTCAAGCTTGGATGGTGCTCTCGGACTTTCCCTGGTCTTCAATCTGCAGCAGAGAAGCTGAACCGACAACACATCCGAGCATTGGCGATGGGTACTTCTTCGCTTCTTCTTCCTTGGGCTTCTACTGATTACATATGAGGACACCATGCAGTACAGAGGTAACTAATTAGATGACTTTCTTTAATTGTGTCAACTTAACGGTTTGAACTTTGTAATTTCATTAAATTTTGTTCTATTGTTGTAGTGATCATCAGCTACTGTTAAGAAATCTCTCTTTCAAAAGTCTTTGTCTTTTTTAGGCCGTATATTTCAGAAGTCTTTGTCTTTATCTATCTATAGCTCGTTAGAGTTTTTAATGGCTGTAGTTACAAAAAAGTTGTATGTTAAAAGGATTTAATTATTGTGGACAGATTTGATTTCACATTCTTAATTATCATTTACTTATTTCATTTTAGATTTTCTTCCGTAATGTGATTTTTCATTCAATCCAGGAAAATGGTAGCAGCTTCTGTTAGCTTAAGAGAAGATGATCCTTTGTTGGAAGATTTGAGTGAGAAGAAGCAAAGTTTCGAGAGGATGTTGCTACTGAGAAGGTTTCTAGTTTCTCTACTTTGTTTGGTTCTGTATTTGTTACTTTAAATTATTAATTTTTCTGCTCTATTGTTTTTTCTTTGTGTAGTATGTAAAGGAGTTGGGTGATATCAATGCACAGCTTGAAGCAACACAGGCAACTGCAGAGGCAAGTGCTTTGTCGGCTGAATCAGCTCAGTCTCAGTGCAGATTGCTCTCCAAACATTTGCACGAGAGGAATGGTTCCTTGAAAGAGCAAGAGGTTGGTGAGCAGCTAGAGAATCTACAGAAGGAGCTGCAAGCTAGAGAATCTTCACATAAGCAGCTGAGCAGATTCGTGCCTAGGATCTTGCTACTGAGAAGGTTCTTGATTTCTGTACTTTCCTTGGTTCTGTTATTGTTACTTTAACTTATCAATTTTCCTGGCTTATTCAACTTTTCTCATGGAACCCACACGTAAGTTATTCTAGTTTCATATTAAAAGTTCTATATTTTTTGTGTTTTATTTGAAATTTTATTAAATAGTTCAAACGCAATGAGCTTGTAAGTACTAGAATAGTTTTACTTTTTAGTCAAATGTTGTTCCCTCCTTATATTTCATTTGCCGCTTGACTGTAGTTTGTTTTGTGAATATTATGCTAAAAAGATACGGGTATATCCAATATCGAGAGGTTTAGATTTTGTTGTTTGCAAATGTATATATATATATATATGCAGCTTATTCAGTGTTTTTAACAATCCAATAAACTTTTTCATCGCAGTTCTTTGAAACCAACTGATCTCCAGATGGCAAATGAGGGTCAAAATCATGGAGCCGCGAATGTCTTAGGTGTTCTTAATCCTTCCAAACTGAATGGATCATTGTGGTAAAAAGAAACATATATATGTTTTATATATGAACGTCATGTTAAAATTTTAGTTGCGTTATATTTTTATTTTTGTTTATAGGTTCAAACGTGATTCCCTAATCACTAATGAGATAAGAACAATCATCCGATCTGATTTTCCTGGCCCGTATCGAAGCTGGTCAACTACACCGCAACATGTAAAAGAGAGATGGTGGTACACATTTAAGGTATGCCATATCGCTTAAGTTATGCCATATTGCTCAAGTTTTATGCCATATCACTTAAGTTTCATGTATGGCGCTCTTATTTTTATTTATAAAATATATTTACAGAGCAAATTCTATTGGGATCACTTGATTGAATCCGAGGTGCGAAAGATGTTTTGCAAATGTGCTGCAACTAAACTGATCGATATGATTAGCCGAGTAAAAGAAAGAGGTAAGCAGCCATATTGGATCCTTGATGATTACTACAAAGACTTGGTTGCCTACTGGGGCACGGATAAAGCTAAAGAAAGAANAATGTGCTGCAACTAAACTGATCGATATGATTAGCCGAGTAAAAGAAAGAGGTAAGCAGCCATATTGGATCCTTGATGATTACTACAAAGACTTGGTTGCCTACTGGGGCACGGATAAAGCTAAAGAAAGAAGTAAAAAAGCTTCTAAGAGTCGAATGTCAGATCGAAACGGGCTGGGACCTCATAAACACCGAGCTGGGTCACGTTCATATGCTAGGGTTACAGATATATTGGTAAGACACTTGTTTTCATATATACCACTTTTAATAATATTTTCTAACATTTCTCTTTTGTAGAAAGAAAAGAACGGAGATGCATCTTACATTGATGTTCTTCGCGAGACACACAAGAAATCAGATGGGTCATTTGTGGATGAAAGGGCAAGGCTAATTAGTGAAGGATTTGAAAAAAAATGTAGCTGATCACATGCTTGAAGATGATATCCTAACCATTGAAGAGCTTACTTCTGAGAAAAAAAAAATGAAATGTATTTGAAGGTAATGCAATAGTTCTTTTTATTTTCGTAGATTTCTTCCTAGATTTTTTTTTTGTCTGACATATATTATATTCTACAGTTGGTTGATTCAACACAAGGGCGTGTGTTTGGTCTAGGAGCTCTTCTTAGTGAAATTTCACTCAATGGTAAAGTGCCAGTCACCATTGAAAGCCACTTGGAAAATGATGAGTTCAAAAAAAGGTACAAGACATTTCTGAAGACAATCAAGTCATCAAAGAAAGGCTGAGCAAACTTGAAGGTTTGGAGAAAATGATTGCGATCCTTTGTCCAGCTATTCTATCCATGGGTGTCAACAACCAAGTCTAAATTGGCTGTTTCTGTTATTTTTCTAAGGTTTTCTTAGTTTTTTTTCTAGTTTTAATTAGCGCTGGTTTTCTCTATTAATGCATTGTTGATTTTTTTTTTCTAGTTTTAATTATCGCTGGTTTTTCTCTATTAATGGATTGTTGTTGTTTTTTAAAAAATATTTTAGTTTATCTAATAAAATTGGTCATTTGACAATTAATCTATGTAACAGTGTTGATATCTACTAATTTTCTAAAATATTAACAGTTAACCAAATAGTAGCCACCGTCAAAAAATATTGACACCAAATGTATTATTTAAAAGTAATTATAGGAAAATTTGCAACAACATTTGTTATATTTTATATAGCAAATTTTGTAACTATTTTAAATTTGCGTTGCAATTGTACCAAAATAATTATATATATATATATACTATTGAATTAAAATTACTCAATTTAAATAAAAAATAATTGCAAATTTGCAATGTTGTTTGCTATATATTATGCATAGCAATAATTTGCCACCATTTATAGTTACAAAATACATTGTAAATTTACAACAAAATTGCTAGAAAAAATCCTTGCAATAATATGACATATATCGCAAAATTTAAATTTATTGCTAATTTTGCTACATTTATGGAACAAATGTGAATTTGCAACATTCAAACAGCAAGAAGTTAAAATTTGTCACAATTTTATTGCAATTTAATATTTGCAACAATATACAAGCATAGTGCAACAATATATCATTGTTGCAATAGAGCTATTTTCTTGTAGTGGATCACCCAAATCGATCGATAGAAGACATTCTATATCGATCGATACAGAAGTCCTCCAAAGCGATTAAATAAAGATTAAAACCCTAATTGCTTCACAAGAGTTTTAGTAAATTATACCTTAAGTCTCTGGCTGCCTGTTAGGCTATATTAAGAGGGTTATGTACTAGTTTAAGCAGACTTCTCCATAGACCTTTAGACCTAATTTAGAGAGAAGCATCTATCCGTACTTTGAAGAGGAGCTTAGGAATTTAGAGAGAGATCTGAAGTACAATCCAGAGAAGATCTTGAACTCCCTTACTTTACTTATTGTTCTCTTATTATTATTATTATCTTAAAACATTATTCAAACCATTATGACTTTGTCTCTCATAAATATGTTTGAGTAGTCTCTCTTGTTAGATTTAGGTTTCTCATTAGGGTTGACTCATGCATTAAAGTAATAATTATTAGGGTGTTTAAAATGTAGTTCTAAAGCTGGTCATCATAAATACCAGTGTTAAGGATTGATCACCCTTACCTCTGATTATAGGATCAATTTGGATAAGTGAGAACTTAGCAATTATCTAGAGTCTAAGTTATTTATTGAAGACTAGAGAATCCTTTCAAACCTGCCATTAGAACTCGCTGGATGCAAAATCGATCGATGAGATAACCGTCTCATCGACCGATATAGCAT